AACAAACAAACATTTCTTTCTACTTAGATACATTTCCAGTGGCTTATAGGAAGGGTGATTATTAAGAGTATGGCTAATATACTATGCTGTGAAGTTCTTTTATTTTTGTTTTTCATTCTGCTATATAATAATTCTGTGATTATTAAGAGTATGGCTAATATACTATGCTGTGAAGTTCTTTTATTTTTATTTTCATTCTGCTATATATTTTCCACTTTAATTTTTGCACTTTGTGCCTTTTTTGGTGCTAATATGAGAACATAGAAAATTAAACTTTTAAGTAACTTGTGAAAAGAAAAAGATAATTCCAGTAGTATACTACAAACAGCCTTGAATCAGTTCTAAGTGGTTGAATGTTAATTGAGATATTCTTCTTAACAGGAATACAGAAGATTTTTAGCTTTCTTTAGGATAGACTATACTTTTGGTTAAATGCTTTTCTGTAGTATAATGATGCAACATCCTGATAACTTCTGTGTGAAGGAAGGACAATCCTATAAAAGTGCTTGAACATTTTAAGCTGTTTTTTGAAAGTATGATTGTACTCATGTTTGTACCACACTCTGACACTCATGCTATTATAAATGAGTATGACTGAAAAAAGTGTTGAGCAAAGAACTCTGTAACAGGCAGTTATATTTGTTTCAACTTCTGGTGTAAATAGTATTTATTAAATACCAGATGCTAGTTGAGGCATTATAAGTTTGATGATGCCAAAAGTTTTATGTATGATAATAAAGATAATTGAAAAACACATCGATAATACATAAGAATAAGTAATATTGAATTTTTGTTAAAGGCACTTTTCATGTGAATATCATCAAATTTAAACACTTCTTGCTGGCATATGTTTTCTTAAATTTTTAATTCCTACTTTAATCCTGTTAGAAGCACAGTGTACTGGAGAACTGCTAGGCAGGTGGGGAAGATATGGCTTTATAACATTTTAATTGTGGATAAGATTACTGGCTAAGTATGCACTAAGTTAATATCACTGATTTAAATAATAAAATGAGATTCTAGTCAACTCTGGTTAACTTGAGTTTAACCTAGTTTCCTAATACATTATAAAATTATGAATTTTCTATCATATTTCCACCTCATTCACATTAGAATTCTTATATTAATTGTTTAGCTCAAGTTTTAGAAACCTTCTGAACATGTGTTGGTTACTCCATAGAAAAAAAAATTTATCTCTCACACATATTACTGACTTGATGCAGTTTTTTTATTCACCCTTGCTTTGTATCTAGTAGAAGACAGACATTTTCTGGATGGGGAGATGTTTTCTTTAATCAGTCTAACCACTTTCATATGTAACTTGTAAGATATTATGTTAATGCAGTGCTCTTAACTCTTATCAAAATGAGCTGTTATGTTAAAGTTATCCTTTTTTTTTTCAAATGTATAATTACAATGAAATCAAATGTAACTATATTTTGCACATGATGTTAAATATTTTTTATGAACCAATGTTTATACTTTTAATCAAGTTTGTTGTGCATAGTATTCATAAACATATGTATAATTTCTAAATGTAATACTTGGCTGAATTGAGATTAATTAATGGTCCAATTTTTATCTGAAACTAAAAAATATTTCACTTTTAGAAAGAAGCATGTAATTTAGTCTTGCAAAATATTCAAAGTGAAGACTACATTATTTTGATAATAGAAAATTAAAATAAATCTTGCGGGATATGTAATACCAAAAGCCTTGGAAAATGACAAAACTTGAAATACAAACATTCATTATATAGTAATGAGTTTTAAAAATTCTGTTAACAGTTGTAGCAAAATATCATTGAT